AGTTACTCCAGTAGTCCGGGGCGCTGTCCCGGTAGCCACTGTGCCAGCCGCTCCTGTTGCCCGTGTGTCTGCAGCTTCAGCCGTCGTCTCCCATCTTCTCTCCTCTCACAGTCCCTCCTCCTCCTCACTTGCCTGCTGTGACTACCACTAGCTTTGCTCATAATTGTGAACTACTGCTATGCTTGCTCATTGTGCTGATTACACCCCACTTTGGCTATGGGGGTGTGTCAGAATGTTATAATTGTCTAGCCTGCAGTGGGGTACTCCATAGTGAGTACAGCCCAATTAGGGTTTGCTATATGTATCCAACTGCTTGCTAGTGAAACCCCTCCTTTCTTCATTCTTGTTTCTTCCTACTACTTCTGACATCAGCTGTGGTGGGAGGGGCAGTAGCAGCGCCTGACGCTAGGTCAAACAGCGAGACACTGTCCTTATAATCGCTCAGTAGGTACAGCTGCAGGTCGTCTAGCCACGTGTCAAACTGAACCGGTCTGCCCTCATGATCAAACGCGAGAACCCGAAGCGAAGCCATAGCTGTGCAGCACGCAGGATAACATTAGTAGCAGTAGCAGCAGCAGTTAGTGGGGCAAGGGGCCGACGGGGCCGGGCGCGGGGCTAAGGGTCGACAGGGGGCCGGGCGCGGGCTAGAAACGGGGCCGGGCGCGGGCAAGGGACGGAGCCGGGCGCGGGCTAGGGGTCGTCATGGGGGGCAAGGCGCGGGCTAGGGACGGGGCCGGGCGCGGGGCTAGGGGCCGACGTAGGGGGGGGGGGCCGGGCGCGGGCTAGGAGTCGTCGTGGGGGGGCCTGGGGCGAGCTAGGGACGGGGCCCGGCGCGGGCTAGGTACGGGGCCGGGCGCTGGGCTAGGGACGGGGCCGGGCGTGAGGCTAGGTACGGGGCCGGGCGCTGGCTCGGGCTAGGGACAGGGCCGGGCGCGGGTTAGGTACGGGGCCGGGCATGGGCTAGGTACGGGGCCGGGCGCTGGGCTAGGGACGGGGCCGGGCGCGGGGCTAGGTACGGGGCCGGGCGCGGGCTAGATACTGGGCCGGGCGCGGGCTAAGTACGGGGCCGGGCGCTGGGCTAGGGACGGGGCCGGGCGCGGGGCTAGGTACGGGGCTGGGCGCGGGTTAGGTACGGGGCCGGGCGCGGGCTAGGTACGGGGCCGGGCGCTGGGCTAGGGACGAGGCCGGGCGCGGGGCTAATGGCCGACGAGGCCGGGCGCGGGGCTAGGTACGGGGCCGGGCGCGGGCTAGGTACGGGACCGGGCGCGAGCTAGGTACGGGGCCGGGCGCTGGGCTAGGGACGAGGCCGGGCGCGGGGCTAAGGGCCGACGGGGCCGGGCGCGGGCTAGGGACGGGGCCGGGCGCGGGCTAGGAACGGGGCCGGGCGCTGGGGTCGACGGGCCGCGGGCTTGAGGTCGAAGGGCCGCGGGCTAGGGGTCGACGGGTCGCGTAGGCTAGGAGCGACGGGCCGGGTGCTGGGCTAGGGACGAGGCCGGGTGTGCGTAGGCTAGGGGCGAGGGGCCGGGCGCGTAGGCTAGGGTCGACGGGCCGGGCGCGCGTAGGCTAGGGTCGACGGGCCGGGCGTGTAGGCTAGGGTCGACGGGCCTAGGGGCGACGGGCCTAGGGGGGTACTAGCAGCGTAGCAGGTGGTGGGCCCAAGGAACCTGCTCTGATTCCATATCAAAGTAACGAACGAGGATGAATGAACTATGAAAGAGTTGGGTACAAGTACTAACCCTAATTGGGTTGTACCCCTTGTGGGCTACCCCACTACAGCCTACACAAATGTATAAGCTATAAGGTTCTGACAAGGGGCGCAGCACGCAGAGCAGGGAGCGAAGAGCACAGGGCAGGCAGCAGCAGCAGCAGCAGCAGCAGTAGCAGCAGTAGCAGCAGTAGCAGGCCGGGGGGGGCTAGGGGCGTCAGGCCGCGCGGCCAGGAACGAAGGGGCCGAGGGGTCTGGGGCCTAGGGGCGACGGGCCGCGGGGCCAGGAACAAAGGGGGCCGAGGGGCCGGGGGCCTAGGGGCGACGGGCCGCGGGGCCAGGAACGAAGGGCCATGGAGCCAGAAACGAAGGCCCGGGGCCTCGGGGCGACGGGGCCTAGGGCGACAGGCCTAGGGCGACGGGGCAGAGGGCGACGGGGCCTAGGGCGACGGGCCGCGGGGCGACGGGGCCTAGGGCGACGGGGGCCGCGGGGCGACGGGGCCTAGGGCGATGGGGGGCCGCAGGGCGACGGGGCCTAGGGCGACGGGAGGGCCGCGGGGCGACGGGGCCTAGGGCGATGGGGCCTAGGGCGACAGGGCCTAGGGCGACGGGGCCTAGGGCGATGGGGGCCGCGGGGCGACGGGGCCTAGGGCGACGGGCCGCGGGGCGACGGGGCCTAGGGCGTAGGGCCGAGGGGCGACAGGGCCGAGGGCGACGGGGCCTAGGGCGACGGGGCCTAGGGCGACGGGCTGTGGGCGACGAGGGCCGCGGGGCGACGGGGCCTAGGGCGACGGGGGCCGCGGGGCGACGGGGCCTAGGGACGACGGGCCGCGGAGCGACGGGTCTAGGGCGACGGGCCTAGGGGCCTAACTGTCGCGACAGGCAGTAGGGGCAGCGCGAGGGCTGCAGAGGGCGGCTAGCAGGGTAGCGCTGTGGTGGGCCCAAGGGAAAAAAAACCGGTCCTAGCGGAGGACCTGCTCTGAAACCATGTCAGAAGAATGAACGAGAATGGATGAACTATGAAAGAGTTGGGTACAAGTACTAACCCTAATTGGGTTGTACCCCTTATGGGCTACCCCACTATAGCCTACACAAATTAAGCAATATAACATTCTGACAGAGGTGAGCGTCAATTTCGGGCAGGCACCTGTCCAACTGCAACTTGTATTTTTTTGCTATCGCCAGATTGAATAGGCTATGGCTAGCCCCGCCATCGACAAACATTTTTTAAAATTTCCTCAACACCGTGCCAGCAACCAGCATAGGGTGATCCACACGATTATCCCCGTTATTCGTCCGAGTGCGATCAATTGCATGAATCGGAACCACGACTCGGTGGGGATGGTGGGGTTCGGGCGACAGAGCATAGTCAGTTAGGGGCCCGTCTGTTACTGACTCTTCCCATTTTCCAGCTCTTTCACGTCGTTCTTCTTTCCCTGCGTCATGTCAAGGCAGTCTTTATACACGTGACCCGGCTTCCCGCACTTAAAACACAACTCCGTAAAAGGACGGTATGGCGCATGGACTCCGTTAATCGTGGCCCGTTGGGTCTGTCCATGAAAACGGTTTCCCTCCCAAGAATTCGATCTCGCCCACTGCATCAGCGCATCTGTGCTCTCGGCCAATCGGATGGCTTCGTTGAATGTAGATGGACGGCTCCTGCGCACCTCATACTTTATCTCATATTCGAGGCCCCTAATCTATTTGTTGAGCCACTCCGCCTTCGCCATGTTGTCCATTTGGTCGGCTAGCGCCGTAAACGACGCCGTGTAGTCTTGAACGGATGCCAACTGCGACCAGGCACGCAGCTTCATGCGAGCGTGTTCTGAGGCGGATACATGCTCGAAACGCTCTCGTAAGGCTGCACCCCACATTTTCTATGTGTGAATTATGGCCACACTGAATATTGATGATTCCCTCCCATTAGCAAAGTCTGAAGTCCCGTCTGCCGCATGTGTCACACCTGTCGGGGTCCACGTGTCCAAGGTTTATCGCCACCATTCAAGATATGTGCCTCGCAGCAGCGATACCGTGTAATTAATACATGTGGCATCGTCGTTAACGTTCGCTGTAGTGAAGAACACCTCCACGCCAAACAACCACCCCTTAACTGAAGTACTCTTGCTTGTAGGGTTGAACGGAGGCGGGCTCGCAGGTTTAATATTAATTGTTGTCACTGCAAATGTTGACGCTGCCGCTCACTGGCTATCTTCTTCCAAACCGCGTATGAGCTCCTCCAGTGGATTGCCGCTCACCGCTTAACCAGTGCTCTCGCCTTCTTCCGCAGGCAACTCCTGTTGCGCTTCACCATGCGCCTAGTGTAGCTCGTTGTTTTCTTCACGTTGTCTCTCCACTTCTGTCGTTAATGCCTTCATGCATGCTGAAATTTCTGCCACTTGTTGCATCAACGCGTTAAATGTCGCCTGATCCATATATCACAAGTTATGTCTAGTAGGCAAGTGGGTATCCGTTACTATATGGCAATAGTGCAAGCGCAAAATCTATTGGGGTCGAGCAAGTTTATTTTAATAAACTTGCAACCAACCGTTTTGCAGCCCACCGTACCAGTCACATCGTGCCACTAAACTACCTTCGAAAAGTGGGGTGAACTAGGAAAGTAGCTCTGATACTAGGTGTATGAGTTGTAAATTATAGTTGCGCGGAAAACGAATAACGAAGCTTGTGGCTAAATGAACTGACGACACAATGAAAGGCACGCGATAATATAGTGGGTCAACCTAGCTAGGCGACAACCTCGGGAATATGAGGCTGTGTGCAAGTTGGGCAAAGGGAAACCAAAGCGACGCGAGGTTGCTTCGGTAGCAAGCAAACCAGCTGAACATGCACTTCCAAAAGTCGGGGTTGACGCAAAAGAGTAAACCCCTGTATGGAAAAAGGCTTTTTACTTACAAGACACATGCTACAGTTACATTCACCTATAACAATATTTCACTAATACTGCTGTAACTCAGATTGAACTACTGAATCGATAAGAACAATAAAGCAAGCTTTCTGCTTTCTTTCTTATTTGCCATAACCCAGCAATGGCTATTCCTTTACCAACTTCAGATTTAATATAGGCTCCAATGTGCGTTTGGTGATTATGTGGAGAGTGCAGCGACATCACATCCGGTTATGAACAAGCATACACTAATCCCCCAGATATCATGTGTGGAATGCTTTCAATATGGGTGTAATTGCCGAACAATCACCATGACAAAGTTCACTAATGCGGGTGTACCAAACTCCCCAACACATCCTTGGTTGTAGGCCGCTTATCTAAAGCAGAGCGCAGTCAGTACTTCATGCGCCCCTCATACGGCACGAGGCTGCCCTCCACCACCTCAACACGCTCCATCTTCACGCCCAGCTCACGCGCCACACGCTGCACCACAAACTCCTCGCGCTCCTCACACACCGACACCACCACGCCGCGCCGCCCCAGCCGCCCGGTGCGGCCGGCACGGTGCGCGTAGTGGGCGGGCGAGGCAGGCAGCTCGAGGTTGACGACGAGGTCACAGTCAACCACGTCCAGCCCGCGCGCACCCACCTCCGTAGCCAGCAGCACCCGCACCCGACCGTCCCTGCCGAAATGGCGAGCGCAGGGGCATTTGGTGAGGGTGACAGGGGGGGAGGACGGAGGGGAGAATGCGTGCGGAGGGGGAACATGTCCGGCTGGAGTTGACAAAGACGCTGCATTTTACGTCGTCCAAGTATTGGAAAAAAAAAAATCTACAATAGAAGTGAAATCGTGCAGTCCAGCCAGAGAAATCAGGATTCTCTCCAGTCTCCACGGCACAGACAATGCCCAAAATTGCAGCCAAGAGAGTATGGCACCTGAAGGAAGGTGGCACCTGACAGAAAGTGACACCTGAAGAAGGGCGGCACCTTAAGCAGGGCAGCTCCGAAGGCAGGCCCCACCTGAAGGAGGACATGATGTTGGTGCGGGCGAGCTTGGAGATGGTCCCATGCAGCGCAGCCGCGGACAGCCCTCTGGCCTCCAGCTTGTGCTGCACGTCCACCAGGCGGCGCCCAAAGTTCATAAACACCATGGCTGACCGCGCCTCCAACGCGTGCACGCAGCGCCGCACGATGTCCACGTGATGACGCCTGTTCACCACTATGTAGCTGGAGGGGTAGGGGGGCGAAGGAGGTATGGCCCAGATGGGGGCAGAAGGAGGTATGGCCTGTTCATCACTATGTAGCTGTTAGAAGATGTGGGGGGTTGGGGGGAGGAGGGGAAAGGGGCAGATGGGTGGAGCATAAGATGACGGGGAGGTGGAAATGGTTGAAGTGGGGTGGGGAGGGAGCCAGGGTAGACAGTTTCCCTGTCTGGACCCATCAGACAGCAGCAAGGCAGGGCTGGGATCACGAGTGCTGCTGCATGCGCAGCTGATGTGGATGTGTGACCGTTGGAAGTAGCTGTGAGGCGAGGCTGCTCACCAGTGCTCTCCGCCGCTCACCAGTGCTCGAGGTTGGGTGGCAGGCTGTCCCTCAGCGCCACCAGTGGCGTCTCCTCACTGCCTCGCCCCAGTGACGCCAGCACCCCTCCAGCCAGCCCTCCTGCCTGCGCTGGCGGCGGAATCACAAGCGCCCCGTGCACGACTGATGCTGCAGCAGCAGGAACAGGAAGCAAGTCACTGGCTGGGCTGGCAGCAGCAGCAGCAGCAGAGCGGGCGTCGATGGGCTGCATGGCGTGCTGCTGGACGAGCAGTGGGTGCGTGCCCCACTTGCAGGCGGCCTCCAGCACAGGCCGTGGCACCGTGGCTGACACCATCACCAGCTGCCTCTCCGCTCTGCCTGCTGATGCGCTTGTACTCGTGGTGGTAGGTGCAGGCTGGTGAAGGGATCTGGTACAAGGCAAGGAAGGAGGAAATGGAATGGGAGAAGAATGGGTCGGATGTTTGTAATCTGCTGTCACTCAACCTAACCACTTGCATGCAGCCTCCAGCACAGGCGTGGCACCGTGGCCAATACCTGCTGCCTCTCCGCCCTGCTGCCTCTCCACCCTGCTGCCTCTTGATGAAGGGTGCGCACTGCAGGGCGCACTGGTGCTGCTGGCAGTGGAGGTGGGTGTAGGATGGTGAAGAAATTTTGAGACAAGGCGGCATGAGAAGCAGGGGAGGTGGACACGGAATGAGGGGAGGAGGAAGCACATGGATGGATGGTGTGCTCGAGGGGCATGTCACATTCGTCAACACACTCACTAGCGGCGCCCCACTCGCTTGCGGCGCTCCACTCACTTGCCGCGTCCCACTCACTTGCGGCGTCCCACGTGGCCGAGAATACGAAGCATGTCGAGCCTAAAGCGGTGCGAGAGCAGCATGTCCGCCTCGTCCAGCACCAGCCACCTCGCTTGCAGTGGCCCACCCACTCACACTGCACACAACTCCCCACAAACTCACTTTCGCCTTCCCACATGGTCAAGAATACGAAGCATGTCCAGCCGGAAGCGGTGCGACAGGAGCATGTCAGCCTCATCCAGCACGAGCCAGCGGCACGAGTGAGTTGACAGCCGCCCCGCACGGCTGCTCTCTGCGATGCGCCCCGGCGTGCCCACCACGATGGACGGCCTGTATTTCTTCAATGCCTCCTCCTGCCGGTGGGGGTTCGCGCCGCCGATCAGCTGCTGCACACAGCGCTGTTAGTGGGACGAGGGGCGAGGGGACGAGAGATGATGGGGGTGAGGGGGAAAAGCGTGAGGAGGAAGGTTTGCCCCGCCGATGGGAAAAGCGTGAGGAGGAGGGCAAGGGGCAGGCGAGGGAGGGTGGGGGTGAGGGATGGTGGGGGGTGAGTGAGGGATGGAGGGGGTTGAGGGATGGTGGGGGGTGGGAATGGTGGGGGGTGAGGGATGGTGGGGGGTGAGGGATGGTGGGGGGCGAGGGATGGTGGGGGGTGAGGGATGGTGGGGGGTGAGAGATTGTGGGGGGTGAGAGATTGTGGGGGGTGAGGGATGGTGGGGGGTGAGGGATGGTGGGGGATGAGGGATGGTGGGGGGTGAGAGATTGTGGGGGGTGAGACATTGTGGGGGGTGAGAGATTGTGGGGGGTGAGAGATTGTGGGGGGTGAGGGGGAAAAGTGTGAGACGGGACACGAAGGGAGCTGTGGGTCACGGGAAGAGGATGTGAGCTGCTTGCAGCATATGAGATGCTTAACGCAAACTCCGAATGAATTTCTTCTGAATGCCTTGCCCTCATGCTCCCACCCCCACTGCCTCACCTTATGCTCCTCGCCTCACCTTGTGCTCCTCGCCTCACCTTGTGCTCCTCGCCTCACCTTGTGCTCCTCGCCTCACCTTATGCTCCCCACCTCACCTTGTGCTCCTCGCCTCCCTCACCTTATGCTCCTCGCCTCACCTTGTGCTCCTCGCCTCACCTTATGCTCCTCGCCTCACCTTGTGCTCCTCGCCTCACCTTATGCTCCTCGCCTCACCTTCTGCTCCTCGCCTCACTTGTGCCCCGCCCCCCTTCCCCCACCCACCTGTGCCTTGCTCCCCCTCCAGCTTCCCATCTTATGATCCGCCCCACCGTCCCCCCTCCCACCTTATGCTCCTCGCCTCACCTTGTGCTCCTCGCCTCACCTTGTGCTCCTCGCCTCACCTTGTGCTCCTCCTGTGTTCCCCACACCTCCTCGCCTCGCCTCGCCTCACCTTGTGTTCCCCACACCCACCTATACCCCTTCCCCCCTTCCCCCCTCCCACCTGTGCCCTGCCCCCCCTCAGCCTCCCACCTTATGCCCCTCCCCTCCCCCTCCCCCCCCCTACCTTGTGCTCCTCGCCTCACCTTATGCTTCTCGCCCCTCTTCCCCCCCTACCTTATGCTCCTCCCCCAGCACACGTTCCACCTCTCTCACGATCTGCATCGCCAGCTCCCGAGACGGCGCCACCACCACCGCCTCCACTCCCCCTCCCCCTCCCCCTCCCCCTCCCCCTCCGCCTCCCCCTGCACGGCCCTTCTTGCCCCTCTTGCCCTTGCCTGCCCCCTCTCCCTCCCCTCCGCCGCCCCCAGCCAGCTCAGTGGTGTCTGAATGCGCAGCGGGGTGGCTGAGCGGGCCCACAGAGGCGAGGATGGGCAGCAGATATGCGAGCGTCTTGCCCGACCCCGTGAATGACTGCAGCACCGCATCCGTGCCTGGTCAGACGGGACGGGAGGACGCGAAAGGGGGGACGGGCGTGGAGGGAAACGGCAAGAACAGGGGGGGATGGGGCGCAGTGGGAAGGGAGGGAAGAGGGGAGAGAAGGAGGCAGGGAAACAGGGCGCAGAAGGCTTCAATGGGGCTGTTAGGAAGTAGGGGACGGGAATGGAGGGAAGGAAAAAGGGGGGTTGTGCGGATGGGGGGAGGCGGGGCAAGGGAGGGAAGAAGAGAAGAGAGAAGAAGGGACGTGGGGGCGGGGAGCAGGAGGCATGAATATGGAGGGTGGGAGGGACGAGCTGCTTGCAGTGCGATGGGGGAGAGTGGAGCATGTTGCGGGGATGAATGGGGAGATGCACAAGGGAAAGGGCGAGCGAGGAGGGAAGACAAGGGTCGGGCATAGGGGTTCGGGAAAGGGGATAGGGGACAAGCGTGTGAGGGAAAAGGATGGGAGACAGGGAGGAAAGTGTGGGGTGCGGGGGGGGGAGGGGGAGGGGACGGGGGGGGTGGAGGAGAAGGAAGTAGAGGCACGGCCACTGCGCGAGGACAAGCAGCGGTTTCAAGGTTTAAGGTTCGGGGTTTTGGGGGTTTAAGCTCCAGGGCAACTTTTGAGTCACTGCGCACCTTGCATGAGGGCGGGCACGGCGCGTCGTTGGATGTCGGTGGGCTCGAGCAGCCCCAGCGACGCCAAGCGCTCCGCCAGATTCGGGGGCAGTCCCAGCGAGTGGAAGCTGCCACTGCTCGAATCCACGCGCGACTCCGGGGCCGCCCTTCCTCCCCGCGCCGCGGCCTGTCCGCCCCGCGCCGACGCCGCTTCTCTCGCGCCTCTGTCACCGTCGCTTGTTGCAGCGCCCACTGCGCCTGTCGCTGCGCCTGCCCCTGCGCCTGGCGCTGCGCCTGTCGCCGAATCCGCGCGCCCAGCATCCGCCTGCGCCGTGCCCGCTTGCGCACGAGGACGCGCGACTGGCGGACAGGCGGGCTGCGCGCAATGCGGAGAGTCGAGAGACAGAGAACGCGCAGAATTGCGCGCAGGGGATGTGGCGGTCACTGGTACTAGACCGAACAAACGCGCCTCCGTGAATCGCGAGAGGCGCGCTGTGAGGGCGTGCGACGGGATGTGCAGCGCCATGGTCGGAGCGCGCTGTGGTGTGGTGGAACCGTGCCACGGAGGGTTGAGAGTGTAGACAGCGTGAGAGTAAAATATCCCTTGTGGGTGCATAGGACGGGGGGTTTTGCGAATCGTGCAACCTTCAAGCCAGCCTCACAAACAAGCACATGCGAATCTCAGGAATGCGCAGTGGTTGGTCGTGGTATTGCCATTTCACAAGGAGTTGATTACGATATTGTACAATTCAGAGACTACCAAGGATGCTTTGGACATTTGCCGCCACAGGCGTTACTATGCCGGTGATTAGGTCATAATTTATCTCAGTCGGCGACTCGCGACGTTCTTCAAGACCAGATCGCCGGCAAATGCGCGCGAAATTGGCAGCAGCGTGTTAGTATGTGAGCATCGCCGACAGTGAAAATAAATCCAAAAGAATTCTTCAACGCCTGCTCGGAGTTTGTAGGCGCGAGTGAGTAGTACCGCGAACGCACACGCACACATAGTAAGCGTAAACGTACGCATACTTACGCTGGCTTTCAGAATGTGGAAACCCAACTTGGTCAGTATGTGTGACGTGGCACGATCAGTGCAGCCCTTACTCCGACGTGGCTCGCAGTGAGTGATGGTGTGCTGACGTGGACGACGATGCGGACGATTTTTGGCAAGTCGGGCAAGGCGGCCAAGCGGGCCGACGCAGCGAGAGGCAAGCCATCGTTACCGAGCGATGATATAGTTCGTGCTTTGCTAACGCTAGCGATAGCCAAGCCATCCTTGTTTCGCGACGCCTCAATGCTTCGCGAATGTCTGACGACTATCCCGCCTCCCTCGCGCCCTCGTCACCCGGCGCAATCTGGCTGCTCGTTCCGCTCTTTCTCGCTTCTGTGTTTCCTCCTCTCCGTGTATCTTGCTCTCAAGCCTCTCTGCCACGCTGCTCCGTCCCCCTCTTCCTCTCCAGAATTGACTTGCTCCCCCCTTACTATCACCCCCCCTTACTATCACCCCCCCTTACTATCACCCCCCCTTACTATCACCCCTCCTTACTATCACCCCCCCTTACTATCACCCCCCCTTACTATCACCCCCCCCCCTTACTATCACCCCCCCTTACTATCACCCCCCCTTACTATCACCCCCCTTACTATCACCCCCCCTTCCCCCTCCTCCCCCCCCTCCTCTCAGCCGCCCCCATCCAGGGCGCCTGCGAACGGTTTTCCCGGGCGGACATGCTAACCGCGACGAACCACTGGGCACCGCAGATGCACCTGGGTGACGACGGCTACCGCGACCTGTTCAAGGGCGTGGACCCGCGCGACGGCGCCACCCCGTGGCTCCTCAAGCGCTGCCGATTCCGCGAATTCGAAGAGTTCCACGCGAAGGTGGGAAGGGGGGGAGTGTGGGGGAATGGGACGGACGAGTGTGGTGTTGGAGAGTGGAGAGAGGAGGATTGATGGGGAGGAGAGGGGCGAAAGATGCAGAGGTGAAAGTGAAGGGAGGAGAGCGAAGGAAAGTCAGGTTTAGATTCCGCTAAGCTAGTTAGAAGATCAACTATCGGATGTTGCTGGTTCAACCACAGACCCCACACTCTCACTCACACATTTCCCATGGATGTGCGGCTACCTGTCATTTCAAAGAGGTGTTCGATGAAGCGCCGGCAGGTGGTACCGAGCCAAGGCTGGAATGGTCGCCGAGGAAGACGCTGGACGTGGTGGCTGCAGAGAGCCTGACGAAAGACTGGTCAGAGCAGGAGGTTAAGCAGGCGCTCAAAGAGCTGGCCAACGACAAATCATCAGGATGGGACGGGCTGCCCAAAGAGCTTTTCCAGCGGCATTGGGAGTTGCTGCGGGAGCCGATGATGAAGATGATCGGGGAGTTCACCGCGACAGGGAAGTTGCCGGATGCGGCAAATGAGGCGGTCACTATACTGCTGTACAAGAAAGGTGTGGAGACGGACATAAAGAATTACAGGCCGATTACACTGCTTTCAGGGGTGTACAAACTCCTCGCGAAAGTGGTAGCGACGAGGATGAAGGCGGTGCTGGGTCAGGTGATCTCAAAGGAGCAGTACGGCTTCTTACCTGGGAGGAGGTTAACGGACGCAGTGTCGATGGTAGCTGATATGATTGAAGCAGGCCGGAACGAGAACAGTTACTGGTACCTACTCCTGATCGACTTCGAGAAGGCATACGATTCAGTGCGCAGAGGCTTCATGATGGACACAGTCGCCAAGCTGGGCTTCCCGCCGAGATTTGTACGGTGGATAGAGGCCCTGCACAGAGATGTTCACACAAGGCTGTGTGTTAACGGCTGGGTGGGAGAGCAAATCGAGATGAGGAAAGGGGTGCGCCAAGGCTGCCCACTGGCGCCGTACCTTTTCTTGTGCGCGGTGGAGCCACTGAGCCGGTTAGCAGAGGAAAGGAAGCTGGGAATCGGGGAAGGTAACTGCGACAGGCTGTCATATGTGGGGTACGCGGATGACACGACCTTGCTGCTGGAGGGAGAGCAGCAATTGAAGGATGCGGGCGTGCTGCTGCAAGAGTACGCGGAGGTGTCGGGGCTGAAAGTGAACAAGGGGAAGTCTGCGGTCCTGCCGTTAGGGAGGAATGTGGGACAACAGGCACCAGGGGATACGAAGTACAAGTGGGTGGGGGCAAACGAGGTTGAAAGGCTTCTTGGAGTGTGGATCTCCCCCGGGGGGGACGCGAAGGCAACGTGGGAAAAGGCCTTTGACAGAGCGGCAGGAGAACTGAGCAAGTGGAGCAACAAGTATCTCACGACAGGAGCTCGGGTGACCATCATCAACAGCTACGTCCTGCCGATCTTCCTCTTTCAAGCGCAGGTGTACCCGCCGGACGACCTGCTGTGGCGTAGGGTGGAGAAGTTGATTGAAAACTTTGTGTCCGGTAATCATGCAGACACAGGGCGGCACTTCAGGCTCTGGAGCGGGGATCTGATATACACGCCAAGGGAGCAAGGGGGACTGGGGGTGATAGATCCGAGGGGGAGAATCGATAGTGTGGCGATGAGGTGCGCGGGAATGGCGCTGCAGCAGGAATGCTCACTAAGAAGAGGTTTGTCGGAGAAAGCGGCAGGCCTACCTCTTGGGTGGGCGACGCTGTATGCACATAAGGCGGTACTGAGAGGAGGCTTGTTTAAAAGCAGGAGGTGGGCAAGGCTGTGTAAGACTTTGTTAAAGTCAACGGTGGTGGCAGTACCAGGGGCGGCGTCTAGGTGGGATGTAGAAGAGGAGTTTCTGTGCTATAATAGGCACATCATTCACCGCGGTGACGCCCCGTTCGGTGGGCAGAAGGGTACGGAGAAGCTGAGAAAGTGGCGAATGCGCGACATGGTGCAGAGGAAATGGGATGGCACAAGGACGCTTAAGTCGGAGGTGACACTGGCAAGGGAGTTGGGCGGGAACAAAGAGGCGGAGATGGCGCTGAAGGCGTTCAACGCGGCACCAGAGCGGTGGCGACAGTGGCTGTTGGCACCTCTGACGGCGGAGGAAGTCGCGGCAGAATCATCGGTGGTGTGTACCAGGCTTCCAAGCAGACAAAGGTGTCTCTGGGAAATCTGCGGCAAGATGGGCAAAAAGGTGGAGCTTCGGGGGCTCAGCGGCAAAGGAGAGCGCACGTCGTGGGATGTAAGGCTGGTGCTGTGCTGCGACAGTGTGGTGCCGGCGAGGTTATCCCGTGAGCAGGCGATACGGGAGGCCGGGGATCCAAGGGCTCGGTTGCTCAGCTCATCGCTATTCAAAGAAGAGGTGGTGGTTCCAGTGAGGGAACTCAGAGAGCCAAGCAAGGGGATAGAGGCGGTGGAAGGGAAGAGGTTGAGCTGGGAGGCCCGGGCGGGCAGAAAAATTGACTGGGAGAGGAGCAGGAGGGTCCGGGATTCTTTGGTGGTTCCGGCCAAGGCGAGAGATGTGCTCCTCCGCGTGCACAACCTCAACTTGCAAGTGGGGGAGAGGGTTTCGTTTGTGAAAGGGGGGGTGGCATGCCCGAACTGCGGGCTGGAGGAGACGTTGGAACATTGTTTGCTGGAATGCAGGAGTGTGGCACCAGTGGCCCGTGCTGTCAAATCGGCGCTCAGCATGATGCAGCCAGCAAGGCGGGTTGACAGGTTGGCAGATTTTGTGTTTGGGGAAGAGGAAACGAAGTCCGGTTTTCCCGAGGCTACAATGGTGGCGGTGGCGATGCACCAGGTTTGGTTGGGAAGGTGTGATGTGTCGCTTCGTAAGGGGAAGAGGTTCCAGGCACGGAAGGTGCTCAGGAGGATTAATGTCGAGTTCAACAAACATGCGAGAATCTACTGTGGCAAACCGAGCAAGCAGGCGAGGAAGGATAAGGCGAGGTGGAACTTGGCGGAGGATGAGGCACGTGTCATGCGGCGGATATGCGTCAGCGAGGTAGTGGGGTTGAAGTGGCAAGGTGATTTTCAGTCTATCTGGTCGAACCCGAGGACCTTTGTGAAGCCACCGTAAAGCCGTGGGGAGGGCCAGGCGAACTTTCGTCAGCCTGATCCCAGTTCATCAGTTACGACTGAAGTGTTTTGCTTGTACTGTATTGTGTAAGCTTTCACTAAAGAAAAAAAAAAAAAAAAAAAAAAAAAAAATCCCATGGATGTTATGTTGCTCTGCATGGTGGTCTCGTCCTCCACGGGCAGCCCGTCTGATACTGCCATGCTGCCACAATACCGACCCAAGGAGGGTTGGTTCACCCACCACGCCCTATCCTTCTCCTCAAAGCAGGTTCCTCAGTGGAACAGCGGCATACAAGTAGGCCGCTTTGGAGCCAAGGCAGGCGAAGGAGGAAAGAACACGTGTGGACCACTGCTCGCCTTATCCTCTCCCTCCCCTCCCACCCGCCCCCTTCCCGCCGCCTTGCGTGCCCCCAGGTGGCGGAGATGGGCAACAAGAACCACCCCAACCTGCTGCGCCTGCTGGGGTACTGCGATGAGCAAGACAGGCAGGGCCGGTGGCAGCAGGTGGTGGTCTATGAGTTCATGCCTGGCTGGTGGCAGCCTCCTCAACAAGTTTGGACCGCATGGTGAGGCATGCCGCATCACTCACCTCTCTTTCTGATCGAGCCCATGTCGTTGCGAGTGCAGTTTCGATGCCAACTCCACTCATGGAGGTGCTTGCAGCTTCTTCTTCGCCCCTGCCCTCGCCCCTGCCCTCGCCCCTGCCCTCGCCCTTGACCTCGCCCCTGCCCTCGCCCTTGCCCTTGCCCTAGCCCTCGTCCTTGCGTTTGCCTCTGCTAGGTCTGCTTGCACAGCATCTGTCCATCACATGTTGCTTATTCCGTTACGTTGGTCCATGACATTTCACTCTACCTTGCAACATATTCTTTCTCTTCCTCGCAGGTTGCGTCGGCGTGCCCTTGACCCTGCAGCAGCGGCTGGACATTCTGATAGGAGTGGTGCGCGGGCTGGAGTATCTGCACAGCTTTGGCATCGTGCATCGCTGTCTCAGCCTCGAAAACATTTTACTGGATGGCAGCATGCAGGTGAGTGTGCTGTGAGTGAGGGCGCTATACACAAACATGCTGCAGATTCTTGTCGTGTGGAGCAACATTTCCACCCTCCTCCCGCCCGCCCATCCCACGCGAGGCTCTCCCTCCCACCCTGCACGTCAACGCACCACACTTTTCCAACACAACACCACGCCAGGCGAAGATTGCAGGGTTTGAATATGTGTCGCACAGGCCGGCAGCGAGGGGCGAGGACGTGGTGGTGGGCGAGCTCGAGTACGTGGACCCGCACCTGCTGCTCACTGAGCGCCCCACACCCACCACTACAGGTGCCAACCCGATCTCTTCTCCCTATTCCGCCCATTCCCCTCAGTCTGCCTCCCATTCCCCTCAATCCGCCACCCATTCCCCTCAAGCTGCCCATCTTTGTTGAGAAGACACCGCACACGTCATTTACGCTTTCGAAATTACGCTGGCGTACAATGTTATGGTGCCTCACGACTGCATCCCACAGCTCTGTCCATCCCATACCGACTCACCATCTGGTTACCGACTCACCGTCTGGTTACCGACTCACCATCTGGTTACCGACTCACCATCTGGTTACCGACTCACCATCTGGTTACCGACTCACCATCTGGTTACCGACTCACCATCTGGTTACCGACTCACCATCTGGTTACCGACTCACCGTCTGGTTACCGACTCACCATCTGGTTACCGACTCACCATCTGGTTACCGACTCACCATCTGGTTACCGACTCACCGTCTGGTTACCGACTCACCATCTGGTTACCGACTCACCGTCTGGTTACCGACTCACCATCTGGTTACCGACTCACCATCTGGTTACCGACTCACCATCTGGTTATCCCCCCTAGTGCTTCCTCTCATGCCCGAGGTACTCGCTGTTCTCAGGATCGTGAATGGATGTGTGTAAACTGGAATTTTTGTGTGTGTGTTTTTTTTCCAATTCTCTTGGTTGCTATTTCAGAAAATAATAAAACCAACTGCACACATATGAAGTCTGGTTTGTTGCTCCCATTATCATGCTTCCCTGCCATGCTTCCCTGCCATGCTTCTCTGCCATGCTTCTCTGCCATGCTCCTCCACTGCCATGCTCCTCCACTGCCATGCTCTGCTCTCACCTCTCTGTGCTACCCCACGCTCGTTCCTTCTCCATCCCGCCCTTTGCCCCTGTGTGCCGCCCGCTCCTTCCTTCTCCTTCTTCTCGCCCATCTGGTGCACGCCGCCACCAGTCTGGGGATGGTGCTGCTGGAGCTGCTGTCAGGCCGCCGTTCGTTCACTTGAGAGGAGAGCATGGAACCGATCAGAGACAGTGTGAGTGCGAGCCAGTGGAGCATTGTGGGGAGGGCGGGTGGTGCGAGCGAGTGGAGCATCGGGGGAAGGGCGAGTGTTGTGTTCTGAGCCGTACCTCGATCGCTGGCAGTATTTTTAGCGGAATTCCGGTCCGGAGAATTCTCAGAATCTTCCATCCGTTCACAGCAGTGATGAGGCAGCAGCAGAATCAACCACCCACGGGTGCCTCCTCGCATCCCTCTCGTGCTCGACTCTCCATGGTCTCCCCCCCATGCTCCTCTCCCCATACTCCTCCCCCCATGCTCCTCTCCCCATACTCCTCCCCCCATGCTCCTCTCCCCATACTCCTCCCCCCATGCTCCTCTCCCCATACTCCTCCCCCCATGCTCCTCTCCCCATACTCCTCCCCCCCATGCTCCTCTCCCCATACTCCTCCCCCCATGCTCCTCTCCCCATACTCCTCCCCCCATGCTCCTCTCCCCATACTCCTCCCCCCATGCTCCTCTCCCCATACTCCTCCCCCCCATGCTCCTCTCCCCATACTCCTCCCCCCATGCTCCTCTCCCCATACTCCTCCCCCCATGCTCCTCTCCCCATACTCCTCCCCCCATGCTCCTCTCCCCATACTCCTCCCCCCATGCTCCTCTCCCCATACTCCTCCCCCCATGCTCCTCTCCCCATACTCCTCCCCCCATGCTCCTCTCCCCATACTCCTCCCCCCATACTCCTCCTCCCATGCTCCTCCCCCCATGCTCCTCTCCCCATGCTCCTCCCCCCATGCTCCTCCCCCCATGCTCCTCCCCCCATACTCCTCCCCCCATACTCCTCTCCCCATGCTCCTCCCCCCATGCTCCTCTCCCCATACTCCTCCCCCCATGCTCCTCTCCCCATACTCCTCCCCCCATGCTCCTCTCCCCATACTCCTCCCCCCATGCTCCTCTCCCCATGCTCCTCTCCCCATGCTCCTCCCCCCATGCTCCTCCCCCCATGCTCCTCTCCCCATACTCCTCCCCCCATACTCCTCTCCCCATGCTCCTCCCCCCATGCTCCTCTCCCCATACTCCTCCCCCCATGCTCCTCTCCCCATACTCCTCCCCCCATGCTCCTCTCCCCATACTCCTCCCCCCATGCTCCTCTCCCCATACTCCTCCCCCCATGCTCCTCTCCCCATACTCCTCCCCCCATGCTCCTCTCCCCATGCTCCTCTCCCCATACTCCTCCCCCCATGCTCCTCTCCCCATACTCCTCCCCCCATGCTCCTCTCCCCATGCTCCTCTCCCATGCTCCTCTCCCCATGCTCCTCTCCCCATGCTCCTCCCCCCATGCTCCTCTCCCCATGCTCCTCTCCCCATGCTCCTCTCCCCATGCTCCTCTCCCCATGCTCCTCTCCCCATGCTCCTCTCCCCATGCTCCTCCCCCCATGCTCCTCCCCCCATACTCCTCCCCCCATACTCCTCTCCCCATGCTCCTCCCCCCATGCTCCTCTCCCCATACTCCTCCCCCCATGCTCCTCTCCCCATACTCCTCCCCCCATGCTCCTCTCCCCATACTCCTCCCCCCATGCTCCTCTCCCCATACTCCTCCCCCCATGCTCCTCTCCCCATACTCCTCCCCCCATGCTCCTCTCCCCATGCTCCTCTCCCCATGCTCCTCTCCCCATGCTCCTCTCCCCATGCTCCTCTCCCCATGCTCCTCTCCCCATGCTCCTCTCCCCATGCTCCTCTCCCCATGCTCCTCTCCCCATGCTCCTCTCCCCATGCTCCTCCCCCATGCTCCTCTCCCCATGCTCCTCTCCCCATGCTCCTCTCCCCATGCTCCTCTCCCCATGCTCCTCTCCCCATGCTCCTCCCCCCATGCTCCTCTCCCCATGCTCCTCTCCCCATGCTCCTCTCCCCATGCTCCTCTCCCCATGCTCCTCCCCCCATGCTCCTCTCCCCATGCTCCTCTCCCCATGCTCCTCTCCCCATGCTCCTCTCCCCATGCTCCTCTCCCCATGCTCCTCCCCCCATGCTCCTCTCCCCATGCTCCTCTCCCCATGCTCCTCTCCCCATGCTCCTCTCCCCATGCTCCTCTCCCCATGCTCCTCTCCCCATGCTCCTCTCCCCATGCTCCTCCCCCCATGCTCCTCTCCCCATACTCCTCCCCCCATGCTCCTCTCCCCATACTCCTCCCCCCATGCTCCTCCCCCCATGCTCCTCTCCCCATACTCCTCCCCCCATGCTCCTCTCCCCATGCTCCTCTCCCCATGCTCCTCTCCCCATGCTCCTCCCCCCATACTCCTCCCCCCATGCTCCTCCCCCCATGCTCCTCTCCCCATACTCCTCCCCCCATGCTCCTCTCCCCATGCTCCTCCCCCCATGCTCCTCTCCCCATGCTCCTCCCCCCATGCTCCTCTCCCCATACTCCTCCCCCCATGCTCCTCTCCCCATACTCCTCCCCCCATGCTCCTCTCCCCATACTCCTCCCCCCATGCTCCTCTCCCCATGCTCCTCTCCCCATGCTCCTCCCCCCATACTCCTCCCCCCATGCTCCTCCCCCCATGCTCCTCTCCCCATACTCCTCCCCCCATGCTCCTCTCCCTATGCTCCTCCCCCCATGCTCCTCCCCCCATGCTCCTCTCCCCATACTCCTCCCCCCATACTCCTCTCCCCATGCTCCTCCCCCCATGCTCCTCTCCCCATACTCCTCCCCCCATGCTCCTCTCCCCATACTCCTCCCCCCATGCTCCTCTCCCCATACTCCTCCCCCCATGCTCCTCTCCCCATACTCCTCCCCCCATGCTCCTGTCCCCATACTCCTCCCCCCATGCTCCTCTCCCCATGCTCCTCTCCCCATACTCCTCCCCCCATGCTCCTCTCCCCATACTCCTCCCCCCATGCTCCTCTCCCCATGCTCCTCTCCCCATGCTCCTCTCCCCATGCTCCTCTCCCCATGCTCCTCCCCCCATGCTCCTCTCCCCATGCTCCTCTCCCCATGCTCCTCTCCCCATGCTCCTCTCCCCATGCTCCTCTCCCCATGCTCCTCTCCCCATGCTCCTCCCCCCATGCTCCTCCCCCCATACTCCTCCCCCCATACTCCTCTCCCCATGCTCCTCCCCCCATGCTCCTCTCCCCATACTCCTCCCCCCATGCTCCTCTCCCCATACTCCTCCCCCCATGCTCCTCTCCCCATACTCCTCCCCCCATGCTCCTCTCCCCATACTCCTCCCCCCATGCTCCTCTCCCCATACTCCTCCCCCCATGCTCCTCTCCCCATGCTCCTCTCCCCATGCTCCTCTCCCCATGCTCCTCTCCCCATGCTCCTCTCCCCATGCTCCTCTCCCCATGCTCCTCTCCCCATGCTCCTCTCCCCATGCTCCTCTCCCCATGCTCCTCTCCCCATGCTCCTCCCCCCATGCTCCTCTCCCCATGCTCCTCTCCCCATGCTCCTCTCCCCATGCTCCTCTCCCCATGCTCCTCTCCCCATGCTCCTCCCCCCATGCTCCTCTCCCCATGCTCCTCTCCCCATGCTCCTCTCCCCATGCTCCTCTCCCCATGCTCCTCCCCCCATGCTCCTCCCCCCATGCTCCTCTCCCCATACTCCTCCCCCCATGCTCCTCTCCCCATGCTCCTCTCCCCATGCTCCTCTCCCCATGCTCCTCCCCCCATACTCCTCCCCCCATGCTCCTCCCCCCATGCTCCTCTCCCCATACTCCTCCCCCCATGCTCCTCTCCCCATGCTCCTCCCCCCATGCTCCTCTCCCCATGCTCCTCCCCCCATGCTCCTCTCCCCATACTCCTCCCCCCATGCTCCTCTCCCCATACTCCTCCCCCCATGCTCCTCTCCCCATACTCCTCCCCCCATGCTCCTCTCCCCATGCTCCTCTCCCCATGCTCCTCCCCCCATACTCCTCCCCCCATGCTCCTCCCCCCATGCTCCTCTCCCCATACTCCTCCCCCCATGCTCCTCTCCCCATGCTCCTCCCCCCATGCTCCTCCCCCCATGCTCCTCTCCCCATACTCCTCCCCCCATGCTCCTCTCCCCATGCTCCTCTCCCCATGCTCCTCTCCCCATGCTCCTCCCCCCATACTCCTCCCCCCATGCTCCTCCCCCCATGCTCCTCCCCCCATACTCCTCCCCCCATACTCCTCTCCCCATGCTCCTCCCCCCATGCTCCTCTCCCCATACTCCTCCCCCCATGCTCCTCTCCCCATACTCCTCCCCCATGCTCCTCTCCCCATACTCCTCCCCCATGCTCCTCTCCCCATACTCCTCCCCCCATGCTCCTCTCCCCATACTCCTCCCCCCATGCTCCTCTCCCCATGCTCCTCTCCCCATGCTCCTCTCCCCATGCTCCTCTCCCCATGCTCCTCTCCCCATGCTCCTCTCCCCATGCTCCTCTCCCCATGCTCCTCTCCCCATGCTCCTCTCCCCATGCTCCTCTCCCCATGCTCCTCCCCCATGCTCCTCTCCCCATGCTCCTCTCCCCATGCTCCTCTCCCCATGCTCCTCTCCCCATGCTCCTCTCCCCATGCTCCTCCCCCCATGCTCCTCTCCCCATGCTCCTCTCCCCATGCTCCTCTCCCCATGCTCCTCTCCCCATGCTCCTCCCCCCATGCTCCTCCCCCCATGCTCCTCTCCCCATACTCCTCCCCCCATGCTCCTCTCCCCATGCTCCTCTCCCCATGCTCCTCTCCCCATGCTCCTCCCCCCATACTCCTCCCCCCATGCTCCTCCCCCCATGCTCCTCTCCCCATACTCCTCCCCCCCATGCTCCTCTCCCCATGCTCCTCCCCCATGCTCCTCTCCCCATGCTCCTCCCCCCATGCTCCTCTCCCCATACTCCTCCCCCCATGCTCCTCTCCCCATACTCCTCCCCCCATGCTCCTCTCCCCATACTCCTCCCCCCATGCTCCTCTCCCCATGCTCCTCTCCCCATGCTCCTCCCCCCATACTCCTCCCCCCATGCTCCTCCCCCCATGCTCCTCTCCCCATACTCCTCCCCCCATGCTCCTCTCCCCATGCTCCTCCCCCCATGCTCCTCCCCCCATGCTCCTCTCCCCATACTCCTCCCCCCATGCTCCTCTCCCCATGCTCCTCTCCCCATGCTCCTCTCCCCATGCTCCTCCCCCCATACTCCTCCCCCCATGCTCCTCCCCCCATGCTCCTCTCCCCATACTCCTCCCCCCATGCTCCTCTCCCCATGCTCCTCCCCCCATGCTCCTCTCCCCATGCTCCTCCCCCCATGCTCCTCTCCCCATGCTCCTCCCCCCATGCTCCTCCCCCCATGCTCCTCCCCCCTTACTCCTCCCCCCATACTCCTCTCCCCATGCTCCTCCCCCCATGCTCCTCTCCCCATACTCCTCCCCCCATGCTCCTCTCCCCATACTCCTCCCCCCATGCTCCTCTCCCCATACTCCTCCCCCCATGCTCCTCTCCCCATGCTCCTCCCCCCATGCTCCTCTCCCCATGCTCCTCTCCCCATGCTCCTCTCCCCATGCTCCTCTCCCCATGCTCCTCTCCCCATGCTCCTCTCCCCATGCTCCTCTCCCCATGCTCCTCTCCCCATGCTCCTCTCCCCATGCTCCTCTCCCCATGCTCCTCTCCCCATGCTCCTCCCCCCATGCTCCTCCCCCCATGCTCCTCTCCCCATGCTCCTCCCCCCATGCTCCTCTCCCCATACTCCTCCCCCCATGCTCCTCTCCCCATACTCCTCCCCCCATGCTCCTCTCCCCATACTCCTCCCCCATGCTCCTCTCCCATGCTCCTCCCCCCATGCTCCACTCCCCATGCTCCTCTCCCCATGCTCCTCTCCCCATGCTCCTCTCCCCATGCTCCTCTCCCCATGCTCCTCTCCCCATGCTCCTCTCCCCATGCTCCTCTCCCCATGCTCCTCCCCCCATGCTCCTCCCCCCATGCTCCTCTCCCCATGCTTCTCCCCCCATGCTCCTCTCCCCATACTCCTCCCCCCATGCTCCTCTCCCCATACTCCTCCCCCCATGCTCCTCTCCCCATACTCCTCCCCCCATGCTCCTCTCCCCATGCTCCTCCCCCCATGCTCCTCTCCCCATGCTCCTCTCCCCATGCTCCTCTCCCCATGCTCCTCTCCCCATGCTCCTCTCCCCATGCTCCTCTCCCCATGCTCCTCTCCCCATGCTCCTCTCCCCATGCTCCTCTCCCCATGCTCCTCTCCCCATGCTCCTCTCCCCATGCTCCTCTCCCCATGCTCCTCCTCCCATACTCCTCCCCCCATGCTCCTCTCCCCATGCTCCTCCCCCCATGCTCCTCTCCCCATGCTCCTCTCCCCATGCTCCTCTCCCCATGCTCCTCTCCCCATGCTCCTCTCCCCATGCTCCTCTCCCCATGCTCCTCTCCCCATGCTCCTCTCCCCATGCTCCTCTCCCCATGCTCCTCCCCCCATGCTCCTCTCCCCATGCTCCTCTCCCCATGCTCCTCTCCCCATGCTCCTCTCCCCATGCTCCTCTCCCCATGCTCCTCTCCCCATGCTCCTCTCCCCATGCTCCTCTCCCCATGCTCCTCTCCCCATGCTCCTCTCCCCATGCTCCTCTCCCCATGCTCCTCTCCCCATGCTCCTCCCCCCATGCTCCTCTCCCCATGCTCCTCCCCCCCATGCTCCTCTCCCCATGCTCCTCTCCCCATGCTCCTCTCCCCATGCTCCTCTCCCCATGCTCCTCTCCCCATGCTCCTCTCCCCATGCTCCTCTCCCCATGCTCCTCTCCCCATGCTCCTCTCCCCATGCTCCTCTCCCCATGCTCCTCCCCCATGCTCCTCTCCCCATGCTCCTCTCCCCATGCTCCTCTCCCCATGCTCCTCTCCCCATGCTCCTCTCCCCATGCTCCTCTCCCCATGCTCCTCTCCCCATGCTCCTCTCCCCATGCTCCTCTCCCCATGCTCCTCTCCCCATGCTCCTCTCCCCATGCTCCTCTCCCCATGCTCCTCTCCCCATGCTCCTCTCCCCATGCTCCTCTCCCCATGCTCCTCTCCCCATGCTCCTCTCCCCATGCTCCTCTCCCATGCTCCTCTCCCCATGCTCCTCTCCCCATGCTCCTCTCCCCATGCTCCTCTCCCCAATGCTCCTCTCCCCATGCTCCTCTCCCCATGCTCCTCTCCCCATGCTCCTCTCCCCATGCTCCTCTCCCCATGCTCCTCTCCCCATGCTCCTCTCCCCATGCTCCTCTCCCCATGCTCCTCTCCCATGCTCCTCTCCCCATGCTCCTCTCCCCATGCTCCTCTCCCCATGCTCCTCTCCCCATGCTCCTCTCCCCATGCTCCTCTCCCCATGCTCCTCTCCCCATGCTCCTCTCCCCATGCTCCTCTCCCCATGCTCCTCTCCCCATGCTCCTCTCCCCATGCTCCTCTCCCCATGCTCCTCTCCCCATGCTCCTCTCCCCATGCTCCTCTCCCCATGCTCCTCTCCCCATGCTCCTCCCATGCTCCTCCCCATGCTCCTCTCCCATGCTCCTCTCCCATGCTCCTCTCCCCATGCTCCTCTCCCCATGCTCCTCTCCCATGCTCCTCTCCCCATGCTCCTCTCCCCATGCTCCTCTCCCCATGCTCCTCTCCCCATGCTCCTCTCCCCATGCTCCTCTCCCCATGCTCCTCTCCCCATGCTCCTCTCCCCATGCTCCTCTCCCATGCTCCTCTCCCCATGCTCCTCTCCCCATGCTCCTCTCCCCATGCTCCTCTCCCCATGCTCCTCTCCCCATGCTCCTCTCCCCATGCTCCTCTCCCCATGCTCCTCTCCCCATGCTCCTCTCCCCATGCTCCTCTCCCCATGCTCCTCTCCCCATGCTCCTCTCCCCATGCTCCTCTCCCCATGCTCCTCTCCCCATGCTCCTCTCCCCATGCTCCTCTCCCCCATGCTCCTCTCCCCATGCTCCTCTCCCCATGCTCCTCTCCCCATGCTCCTCTCCCATGCTCCTCTCCCCATGCTCCTCCCCCATGCTCCTCTCCCCATGCTCCTCTCCCCATGCTCCTCTCCCCATGCTCCTCTCCCCATGCTCCTCTCCCCATGCTCCTCTCCCCATGCTCCTCTCCCCATGCTCCTCTCCCCATGCTCCTCTCCCCATGCTCCTCTCCCCATGCTCCTCCCCCCATGCTCCTCTCCCCATGCTCCTCTCCCCATGCTCCTCTCCCCATGCTCCTCTCCCCATGCTCCTCTCCCCATGCTCCTCTCCCCATGCTCCTCTCCCCATGCTCCTCTCCCCATGCTCCTCTCCCCATGCTCCTCTCCCCAAGCTCCTCTCCCCATGCTCCTCCCCCATGCTCCTCTCCCCATGCTCCTCTCCCCATGCTCCTCTCCCCATGCTCCTCTCCCCATGCTCCTCTCCCCATGCTCCTCTCCCCATGCTCCTCTCCCCATGCTCCTCTCCCCATGCTCCTCTCCCCATGCTCCTCTCCCCATGCTCCTCTCCCCATGCTCCTCTCCCCATGCTCCTCTCCCCATGCTCCTCTCCCCATGCTCCTCTCCCCATGCTCCTCTCCCCCATGCTCCTCTCCCCATGCTCCTCTCCCCATGCTCCTCTCCCCATGCTCCTCTCCCCATGCTCCTCTCCCCATGCTCCTCTCCCCATGCTCCTCTCCCCATGCTCCTCTCCCCATGCTCCTCTCCCCATGCTCCTCTCCCCATGCTCCTCTCCCCATGCTCCTCTCCCCATGCTCCTCTCCCCATGCTCCTCTCCCCCATGCTCCTCTCCCCATGCTCCTCTCCCCATGCTCCTCTCCCCATGCTCCTCTCCCCATGCTCCTCTCCCCATGCTCCTCTCCCCATGCTCCTCTCCCCATGCTCCTCTCCCCATTCTCCCAGCCCCATGCTCCTCTCCCCATGCTCCTCTCCCCATGCTCCTCCCCCCATGCTCCTCTCCCCATGCTCCTCCCCCCATGCTCCTCTCCCCATGCTCCTCTCCCCATGCTCCTCCCCCCATGCTCCTCTCCCCATGCTCCTCCCCCCATGCTCCTCCCCCCATGCTCCTCTCCCCATGCTCCTCTCCCCATGCTCCTCTCCCCATGCTCCTCCCCCCATGCTCCTCTCCCCATACTCCTCCCCCCATGCTCCTCTCCCCATACTCCTCCCCCCATGCTCCTCTCCCCATGCTCCTCTCCCCATGCTCCTCTCCCCCATGCTCCTCTCCCCATGCTCCTCTCCCCATGCTCCTCTCCCCATGCTCCTCTCCCCATGCTCCTCTCCCCATGCTCCTCTCCCCATGCTCCTCTCCCCATGCTCCTCTCCCCATGCTCCTCCCCCCATGCTCCTCCCCCCATGCTCCTCTCCCCATGCTCCTCCCCCCATGCTCCTCTCCCCATACTCCTCCCCCCATGCTCCTCTCCCCATACTCCTCCCCCCATGCTCCTCTCCCCATACTCCTCCCCCCATGCTCCTCTCCCCATGCTCCTCCCCCCATGCTCCACTCCCCATGCTCCTCTCCCCATGCTCCTCTCCCCATGCTCCTCTCCCCATGCTCCTCTCCCCATGCTCCTCTCCCCATGCTCCTCTCCCCATGCTCCTCTCCCCATGCTCCTCCCCCCATGCTCCTCCCCCCATGCTCCTCTCCCCATGCTCCTCCCCCCATGCTCCTCTCCCCATACTCCTCCCCCCATGCTCCTCTCCCCATACTCCTCCCCCCATGCTCCTCTCCCCATACTCCTCCCCCCATGCTCCTCTCCCCATGCTCCTCCCCCCATGCTCCTCTCCCCATGCTCCTCTCCCCATGCTCCTCTCCCCATGCTCCTCTCCCCATGCTCCTCTCCCCATGCTCCTCTCCCCATGCTCCTCTCCCCATGCTCCTCCCCCCATGCTCCTCTCCCCATACTCCTCCCCCCATGCTCCTCTCCCCATACTCCTCCCCCCATGCTCCTCTCCCCATACTCCTCCCCCCATGCTCCTCTCCCCATGCTCCTCTCCCCATGCTCCTCTCCCCATGCTCCTCTCCCCATGCTCCTCTCCCCATGCTCCTCCTCCCATACTCCTCCCCCCATGCTCCTCTCCCCATGCTCCTCTCCCCCATGCTCCTCTCCCCATGCTCCTCTCCCCATGCTCCTCTCCCCATGCTCCTCTCCCCATGCTCCTCTCCCCATGCTCCTCTCCCCATGCTCCTCTCCCCATGCTCCTCTCCCCATGCTCCTCTCCCCATGCTCCTCTCCCCATGCTCCTCTCCCCATGCTCCTCTCCCCATGCTCCTCTCCCCATGCTCCTCTCCCCATGCTCCTCTCCCCATGCTCCTCTCCCCATGCTCCTCTCCCCATGCTCCTCTCCCCATGCTCCTCTCCTCTCCCCATGCTCCTCTCTCCCATGCTCCTCTCCCCATGCTCCTCTCCCCATGCTCCTCTCCCCATGCTCCTCTCCCCATGCTCCTCTCCCCATGCTCCTCCTCCCCATGCTCCTCTCCCCAATGGCTCCCTCCCCATGCTCCTCTCCCCATGCTCCTCTCCCCATGCTCCTCTCCCCATGCTCCTCTCCCCATGCTCCTCTCCCCATGCTCCTCTCCCCATGCTCCTCTCCCCATGCTCCTCTCCCCATTGCGCCTCTCCCCATGCTCCTCTCCCCATGCTCCTCCCCCCATGCTCCTCTCCCCATGCTCCTCTCCCCATGCTCCTCCCCCCATGCTCCTCTCCCCATGCTCCTCTTCCCCATGCTCCTCTCCCCATGCTCCTCTCCCCATGCTCCTCTCCCCATGCTCCTCTCCCCATGCTCTCTCCCCATGCCTCCTCCCACCCATGCTCCTCTCCCCATGCTCCCTCCCCATGCTCCTCTCCCCATGCTCCTCTCCCCATGCTCCTCTCCCCATGCTCCTCTCCCCATGCTCCTCTCCCCATGCTCCTCTCCCCATGCTCCTCTCCCCATGCTCCTCTCCCCATGCTCCTCTCCCCATGCTCCTCTCCCCCATGCTCCTCTCCCCATGCTCCTCTCCCCATGCTCCTCTCCCCATGCTCCTCTCCCCATGCTCCTCTCCCCATGCTCCTCTCCCCATGCTCCTCTCCCCATGCTCCTCTCCCCATGCTCCTCTCCCCATGCTCCTCTCCCCATGCTCCTCTCCCATGCTCCTCTCCCCATGCTCCTCTCCCCATGCTCCTCTCCCCATGCTCCTCTCCCCCATGCTCCTCTCCCCATGCTCCTCTCCCATGCTCCTCTCCCCATGCTCCTCTCCCCATGCTCCTCTCCCCATGCTCCTCTCCCCATGCTCCTCTCCCCATGCTCCTCTCCCCATGCTCCTCTCCCCATGCTCCTCTCCCCATGCTCCTCTCCCCATGCTCCTCTCCCCATGCTCCTCTCCCCATGCTCCTCCCCCCATGCTCCTCTCCCCATGCTCCTCTCCCCATGCTCCTCCCCCATGCTCCTCTCCCCATGCTCCTCCCCCCATGCTCCTCTCCCCATGCTCCTCTCCCCATGCTCCTCTCCCCATGCTCCTCTCCCCATGCTCCTCCCCCATGCTCCTCCCCCCATGCTCCTCTCCCCATGCTCCTCTCCCCATGCTCCTCTCCCCATGCTCCTCTCCCCATGCTCCTCTCCCCATGCTCCTCTCCCCATGCTCCTCTCCCCATGCTCCTCTCCCCATGCTCCTCTCCCCATGCTCCTCTCCCCATGCTCCTCTCCCATGCTCCTCTCCCCATGCTCCTCTCCCCATGCTCCTCCCCCATGCTCCTCTCCCCATGCTCCTCTCCCCATGCTCCTCTCCCCATGCTCCTCTCCCCATGCTCCTCTCCCCCATGCTCCTCTCCCCATGCTCCTCTCCCCATGCTCCTCTCCCCCATGCTCCTCTCCCCATGCTCCTCTCCCCATGCTCCTCTCCCCATGCTCCTCTCCCCATGCTCCTCTCCCCATGCTCCTCTCCCCATGCTCCTCTCCCCATGCTCCTCTCCCCATGCTCCTCTCCCCATGCTCCTCTCCCCATGCTCCTCTCCCCATGCTCCTCTCCCCATGCTCCTCTCCCCATGCTCCTCTCCCCATGCTCCTCTCCCCATGCTCCTCTCCCCATGCTCCTCTCCCCATGCTCCTCTCCCCATGCTCCTCTCCCCATGCTCCTCTCCCCATGCTCCTCTCCCCATGCTCCTCTCCCCATGCTCCTCTCCCCATGCTCCTCTCCCCATGCTCCTCTCCCATGCTCCTCTCCCCATGCTCCTCTCCCCATGCTCCTCTCCCCATGCTCCTCTCCCCATGCTCCTCTCCCCATGCTCCTCTCCCCATGCTCCTCTCCCCATGCTCCTCTCCCCATGCTCTCTCCCCATGCTCCTCTCCCCATGCTCCTCTCCCCATCTCTCCCCATGCTCCTCTCCCCATGCTCCTCTCCCCATGCTCCTCCCCCATGCTCCTCTCCCCATGCTCCTCTCCCCATGCTCCTCTCCCCATGCTCCTCTCCCCATGCTCCTCTCCCCATGCTCCTCTCCCCATGCTCCTCTCCCCATGCTCCTCTCCCCATGCTCCTCTCCCCATGCTCCTCTCCCCATGCTCCTCTCCCCATGCTCCTCTCCCCATGCTCCTCTCCCCATGCTCCTCTCCCCATGCTCCTCTCCCCATGCTCCTCCCCCCATGCTCCTCTCCTCATGCTCCTCTCCCCATGCTCCTCTCCCCATGCTCCTCTCCCCATGCTCCTCTCCCCATGCTCCTCTCCCCATGCTCCTCTCCCCATGCTCCTCCTCCCATACTCCTCCCCCCATGCTCCTCTCCCCATGCTCCTCTCCCCATGCTCCTCCCCCCATGCTCCTCTCCCCATGCTCCTCCCCCCATGCTCCTCTCCCCATGCTCCTCTCCCCATGCTCCTCCCCCCATGCTCCTCTCCCCATGCTCCTCCCAGCTCCTCCCCCATGCTCCTCTCCCCATGCTCCTCTCCCCATGCTCCTCTCCCCATGCTCCTCTCCCCATGCTCCTCTCCCCATGCTCCTCTCCCCATGCTCCTCTCCCCATGCTCCTCTCCCCATGCTCCTCTCCCCATGCTCCTCTCCCCATGCTCCTCTCCCCATGCTCCTCTCCCCATGCTCCTCTCCCCATGCTCCTCTCCCCATGCTCCTCCCCCCATGCTCCTCTCCCCATGCTCCTCTCCCCATGCTCCTCTCCCCATGCTCCTCTCCCATGCTCCTCTCCCCATGCTCCTCTCCCCATGCTCCTCTCCCCATGCTCCTCTCCCCATGCTCCTCTCCCCATGCTCCTCTCCCCATGCTCCTCTCCCCATGCTCCTCTCCCCATGCTCCTCTCCCCATGCTCCTCTCCCCATGCTCCTCTCCCCATGCTCCTCTCCCCATGCTCCTCTCCCATGCTCCTCTCCCCATGCTCCTCTCCCCATGCTCCTCTCCCCATGCTCCTCTCCCCATGCTCCTCTCCCCATGCTCCTCTCCCCATGCTCCTCTCCCCATGCTCCTCTCCCCATGCTCCTCTCCCCATGCTCCTCCCCCATGCTCCTCTCCTCATGCTCCTCTCCCCATGCTCCTCTCCCCATGCTCCTCTCCCCATGCTCCTCTCCCCATGCTCCTCTCCCCATGCTCCTCTCCCCATGCTCCTCTCCCCATGCTCCTCCTCCCATACTCCTCCCCCATGCTCCTCTCCCCATGCTCCTCTCCCATGCTCCTCCCCCCATGCTCCTCTCCCCATGCTCCTCCCCCCATGCTCCTCTCCCCATGCTCCTCTCCCCATGCTCCTCCCCCCATGCTCCTCTCCCCATGCTCCTCTCCCCATGCTCCTCCCCCCATGCTCCTCTCCCCATGCTCCTCCCCCATGCTCCTCCCCATGCTCCTCTCCCCATGCTCCTCTCCCATGCTCCTCTCCCCATGCTCCTCTCCCCATGCTCCTCTCCCCATGCTCCTCTCCCCATGCTCCTCTCCCCATGCTCCTCTCCCCATGCTCCTCTCCCCATGCTCCTCTCCCCATGCTCCTCTCCCCATGCTCCTCTGCTCCTCCCCCATGCTCCTCTCCCCATGCTCCTCCCCCATGCTCCTCTCCCCATGCTCCTCTCCCCATGCTCCTCTCCCCATGCTCCTCTCCCCATGCTCCTCTCCCCATGCTCCTCTCCCCATGCTCCTCTCCCCATGCTCCTCTCCCCATGCTCCTCTCCCCATGCTCCTCCCCCATGCTCCTCTCCCCATGCTCCTCTCCCCATGCTCCTCTCCCCATGCTCCTCTCCCCATGCTCCTCTCCCCATGCTCCTCTCCCCATGCTCCTCTCCCCATGCTCCTCTCCCCATGCTCCTCTCCCCATGCTCCTCTCCCCATGCTCCTCTCCCCATGCTCCTCTCCCCATGCTCCTCTCCCCATGCTCCTCTCCCCATGCTCCTCTCCCCATGCTCCTCTCCCCATGCTCCTCCCCCCATGCTCCTCTCCCCATGCTCCTCTCCCCATGCTCCTCTCCCCATGCTCCTCTCCCCATGCTCCTCTCCCCATGCTCCTCTCCCCATGCTCCTCTCCCCATGCTCCTCTCCCCATGCTCCTCTCCCCATGCTCCTCTCCCCATGCTCCTCTCCCCATGCTCCTCCCCCATGCTCCTCTCCCCATGCTCCTCTCCCCATGCTCCTCTCCCCATGCTCCTCTCCCCATGCTCCTCTCCCCATGCTCCTCTCCCCATGCTCCTCTCCCCATGCTCCTCTCCCCATGCTCCTCTCCCCATGCTCCTCTCCCCATGCTCCTCTCCCCATGCTCCTCTCCCCATGCTCCTCTCCATTCTCCCCATGCTCCTCTCCCCATGCTCCTCTCCCCATGCTCCTCTCCCCATGCTCCTCTCCCCATGCTCCTCTCCCCATGCTCCTCTCCCCATGCTCCTCTCCCCATGCTCCTCTCCCCATGCTCCTCTCCCCATGCTCCTCTCCCCATGCTCCTCTCCCCATGCTCCTCTCCCCATGCTCCTCTCCCCATGCTCCTCTCCCCATGCTCCTCTCCCCATGCTCCTCTCCCCATGCTCCTCTCCCCATGCTCCTCTCCCCATGCTCCTCTCCCCATGCTCCTCTCCCCATGCTCCTCTCCCCATGCTCCTCTCCCCATGCTCCTCTCCCCATGCTCCTCTCCCCATGCTCCTCTCCCCATGCTCCTCTCCCCATGCTCCTCTCCCCATGCTCCTCTCCCCATGCTCCTCTCCCCATGCTCCTCTCCCCATGCTCCTCTCCCCATGCTCCTCTCCCCATGCTCCTCTCCCCATGCTCCTCTCCCCATGCTCCTCTCCCCATGCTCCTCTCCCCATGCTCCTCCCCCATGCTCCTCTCCCCATGCTCCTCTCCCCCATGCTCCTCTCCCCATGCTCCTCTCCCCATGCTCCTCTCCCCATGCTCCTCTCCCCATGCTCCTCTCCCCATGCTCCTCTCCCCATGCTCCTCTCCCCATGCTCCTCTCCCCATGCTCCTCTCCCCATGCTCCTCTCCCCATGCTCCTCTCCCCATGCTCCTCTCCCCATGCTCCTCTCCCCATGCTCCTCTCCCCATGCTCCTCTCCCCATGCTCCTCTCCCCATGCTCCTCTCCCCATGCTCCTCTCCCCATGCTCCTCTCCCCCATGCTCCTCTCCCCATGCTCCTCTCCCCATGCTCCTCTCCCCATGCTCCTCTCCCCATGCTCCTCTCCCCATGCTCCTCTCCCCATGCTCCTCTCCCCATGCTCCTCTCCCCATGCTCCTCTCCCCATGCTCCTCTCCCCATGCTCCTCTCCCCATGCTCCTCTCCCCATGCTCCTCTCCCCATGCTCCTCTCCCCATGCTCCTCTCCCCATGCTCCTCTCCCCATGCTCCTCTCCCCATGCTCCTCTCCCCATGCTCCTCTCCCCATGCTCCTCTCCCCATGCTCCTCTCCCCATGCTCCTCTCCCCATGCTCCTCTCCCCATGCTCCTCTCCCCATGCTCCTCTCCCCATGCTCCTCTCCCCATGCTCCTCTCCCCATGCTCCTCTCCCCATGCTCCTCTCCCCATGCTCCTCTCCCCCATGCTCCTCTCCCCATGCTCCTCTCCCCATGCTCCTCTCCCCATGCTCCTCTCCCCATGCTCCTCTCCCCATGCTCCTCTCCCCATGCTCCTCCCCCCATTTTCCTCCCCCGTATTCCTCCTCTACATGCTTCTCCTCCAGCCTGTTTCCAAGGATCTACCAACCTTCTTTTCCCAGGTCTCAAGTCAGCATCTGACTCCCCCCTCCCTCGATCTTCACCCCGCACCAGGTCGAAGTACTGCTTCAAACCAACGACTTGACTTCTCTCTTTGATCCTGCCCTCGCCTCCTCCTTCCTCCCATCCACCACCAATACCAACGCCAGCATCCCTACCAGCACCAGCATCCTTAGCATTCCTACCAGCACCAGCATCCTTAGCAGCAGCACCATCGGCAGTTCCAGCGTTCTCTCTAGCATCCCCAGCACCACCACTGCAGGCACAGCAGCTGCCAGCGCTACCGATACTACACTGGGTGTTCCCATACCGAATGCTCTGATACCCAGTTTGGTGCGGCTGGCTCGTGTTGGGCTCGCATGCACAGCCATGCCTGCTTCCACCCGACCCACCTTGGGAAGAGTTCTTGCTGAGCTGGAGATTGTGCGGGATGACATGGCAACAGCATTGAGGCAGATGGAGGAAGAGGTGGATAAGCAAGAAGGGGAATTGCATGGAGGGAGGGGTGCCGTGGCAGGCAATAGGGGAAATGAGCATTTGGACTCATTGGGCAATCCTTCCCATGCTGACCCTTCCTCCACATCTCCCAATCCTTCCCATGCTGAACCTTCCTCCACATCTCCCAATCCTTCCACTTCTTCTTCGCAGCTTCCTCCTCCTCTCCCTGTGCTCGCCCCCTCCTCCTCCACCCTCCCCCCGGCGCCGCTGCTGTGCCAGCAGGTGGCCATGGCGGACGTGCTGCTTGCGACGGCCGGGTGGGCGGTGGAAAGGCGCGTTGGCAGTGGCGGGTTTGGCGATGTGTATTGCGCCGTGAGCCCCTTTGATGGCTGCACGCCCTGGGCTGTGAAGCGCGCCCGAGTGCTCACCAACGACTTCCGCCGCGAGGTGTGTTTGCTGCAAGCCGACTCTAAAGTCAATGGCTGCGCGCTTTGGGCTGTGAAGCACGCTAAAGTGCTCACAACAACATGCACCACGAGTGCACGCTCTGGGCTGTGAAGCGCGCCAACGACTTTTGACGCAAGTTAATGGGGTTGGTGGGGGATGAGGATAAGAGTAGGGGATGGTGGGGTTGGTGTTAATGGGACGAGGGAAGAATAATGAGAGATGTAGTGCCCAGCAGCAATGACGCCATAGGCCAACGCCTCCATAGAGAGGCCAAGATCTACGTTGCCAAATACGCTCTGGGTAGGGTGGCGTACCACGTATATACGATTGCGTACGTACGTGGTACGCTAATACGCTTCGAATTCGTGAAAAAACGCGCGGGCAGCCCGGCGAAAAAAAAAAATCGAAATTGAAAAAAAAATGCGACGGTTATTAGGGCTTCGCGACTGGTTACGCGACCAAGCACATCGCCCAACCCACGTCTGAAATTCAAATTTCAGAATCCAAACCTCCCACCACCCCAACCACACACCACCCCACCAAACCTCTCATATCCAACCACCCCTCTCAAATGTCCAGCACGTCATGTGAGCATTTACTCGTTGACGCCTTCCTATCCTTCATTCGTTTCTCTCCTCCTCAATTTCATTCCCGAGCTCTGATCTCCCGTTTTCCTCAAGCAGTTTACCGTTCCTTAGTCGCGCCCCATGGCGTCGAACTCCACCCCTCCTAGCGCCCCAAATATTGACATGTGTTGTTGTCGGCCTGAACCCCCCCCCTGAAACAGGTTTTTGTATACCTGCCCGGGAAAAAAAGTTTTAGCTGCCCGCCAGCGTATTTTTGCGTATCAGCAGTACGCCAGCCTTGGCGTACCGCGTATATACCAAGCGTATAATACGCTAACGTATTATACTCGGTACTCGTATTTAGCAACGTAGGCCAAGATGTCCCTACCCCAGGTGGGAGCCAAAGCCAATTTTGGGAATAATTGACGCGAAATGCAAGAGCCCTCCCCATACTACCTACCCTATCACTCCCTCCCTGCCTCAGATCAACGAGATGGCATCGAAGCACCACCCCAACCTGGTGCGGCTGCTGGGGTTCTGCGTGGACTATGACGCGGCGGGCACAGGTGGGGTTCTGCGTGGACTATGACGCGGCGGGCACAGGTGGGGTTCTGCGTGGACTATGACGCGGCGGGCACAGGTGGGGTTCTGCGTGGACTATGACGCGGCGGGCACAGGTGGGGTTCTGCGTGGACTATGACGCGGCGGGCACAGGTGGGGTTCTGCGTGGACTATGACGCAGCGGGCACAGGTGGGGTTCTGCGTGGACTATGACGCGGCGGAGGAGCGAATGGAGCAGATCGCCATCTACGAGTTCATGCCCCATGGGGACCTGCACCACCGCTTGCATGGCGATGGTGACACAGGTGGGCACCACCGCTTGCATGGCGATGGTGACACAGGTGGGCACCACCGCTCGCATGGCGATGGTGACGACACATGTGGGCATGCCACAGGTGAGTTGCAGCGTGGGGTGTGGGACCAACAGCGAGGGGGGGAGTGGGAGTGAGAAGAAAAGAAAGGAGGAGAAGAGAGGGATGTGGGAGGGAAGGGAATGCAAGCTTTTAGGAGAAGAGTCAAGGCTGATAGTGGCTGTGCCCATTGGCTGATGGTGGCTGTGCCCATTGGCTGATGGTGGCTGTGCCCATTGGCTGGAGTTCTTCACATGAAGGGAGGGCAAGTTTGCCTGCTACCCTTTGTTTTCGTCTCATCCCTTACCTTTTCCTCTCTCATATCTTCTTCCCCTTTGTTCTGAGTGTCAGGTGATATCACCCCCCTGACCCTGCAACAGCGGCTGGACATTCTGATAGGAGTGGCACGGGCGCTGGAGTATCTGCACAGCTTTGGCATCGTGCATCGCGACATCAAGCCCGCCAACATCCTGCTGGACGCCCACATGCAGGCGAGTGAAGGCGAGTGCTGGCGAGTGCTGGCGAGTGCTGGCGAGTGCTGGCGAGTGAAGGCGCTGATGGGCATGACATGCAGTTGCCTTCTCTCCACAAAAAGCCAACATTCTTTGGATTTGGATAACCAGTGACTCTGTAACACTGCGGATCACTTTGTCTCTGTTTCATCCATCTCCGTGACAAATTTGTGCTCTCTTCTCCATCTTGCAGGCGAAGCTGGCAGACTTTGGTTTGCTGAAGATTGTCGAGGGCAGCCGCTCACTGCAGTCCACAGAAGTGATGGGCACGCCGGGCTATGTGGACCCTGTCTAGAGTATCACTCACAAGGCCACTCCAAGTGCTGATGTGTACAGGTGGGAAGGCGTGTGCATGCGCACATGTGGATAGGCTGCCGTTTTTTTGTTCTTTGCCCAAGTACGCAGGTCCTCGTCTCTCGTCTCACTCAGGTGCTCTCTCTTCGCTATACTTCCAACGTTCCACATGGTTCCATATGGTTCCACATGGTTGCACATGGTGGGCGTTCTCTCTCCCTCTCTAAGGGTCCCTTCTCATTGAATATAACAAACGGTAGAGCAAGTGTAAGGCATGCATGGACTATTGAGACTAACCTATTGCTACGAAAACGACAACTTCAAGAAGGTAAGTGATGTGACATAAATGTGAAGCCACTCTAGAAGCCTACCAAACAGCCTGTAAGTGCCCATAGGTAGTGGATTGACGTCTAGCAGGGGGTGGCTGGCCATATTGTGCGCCATGGGCTACGCGCTGGTGCCCTGCGCTCTGCTGGCCAGCAGTGGCGTGGCGTGGCTGGACAGTTGATACCCGAGCTGAGGTCCAGGACTTAGGAGGGTGGGAGCTGGGGAGGTCCACTCTCCCACTCAACCCTCCTGGACCACTAGCAGGTCCCTAAGGGCTATGGGCCACGGGTCAGTTGCTGCTTGTGGGTAAGATGCCTCTACCACTCGGTTGGGCTTTGCATGCAGCGCGTTGGCTTGGCTTTGCTGAAGTGCAATTGCCCACCGCTGGCTAAAGTGGTTATAATATTCTTTGAGTGTCTGTAGAGAGTGGCTCAGCCTGGCGGTATCAACTGTCTGGTGGAAAAACCAAAGGTGGTCCAGGCAATTTTTGTACAGTCGCTCCTTTTTCTTTGCCGCTTCCTCCGCTGCCCACTTTGTCGGCTTTTTGGCCCTCTTGTCCCTGTTTTTGGTCATGGGGCATCCGACCGTAACGTCGACTACCCATGACTCGCCCGTGGTTCTGTCCCTCATCACGACATCGGCTCGAGGTGAGTCATCGTGGGCAGCAGAGGGGGTTGATTCCTTGTGCACGATGAAACCCGCCTCCCGTGCCATTCGTGGCACCACGTTAGCGAGGTTGTTGTGAGTGGTGGTGCAGTCGGCTCCGTCCCCACAGCGAAGGAGATGCTGGGAAGAGATGGGTATGGTCCGGGATAGCTACCTTCTTCTTGCAGCTGCAGTTGCCAGGGTCCCGTTCATGGGCAGTCCTGGGCTGAGGCTAAGGTCTTGGCTGAGGCTAAGGTCTTGGCTGAGGCTAAGGTCTTGGCTGCATGGTAAGGCCAGTACCCAGTTCGCCGCGCCCCCCCCCTCCTTGCAGCGAGGTGAGTCGCCGGGTGTGGCCAAGGGCTGGGGTGGAGCCCCTGTGCCGTGAGTCCTCAATCAGTGCTGCTACCTGGTCCCTGTTGAGGAGCTGGGGGAGGCGGTGCTGCAGCCGTGTTTCTGTAGCTTCCACGCGTTCTAGCAGTGCTTGGGCTTCCTCAGTAGCATGGGTTTGCACTCCCACAGTAGCGTGTGCAGTGGGAGGTTGGAGGAGGAAGGCCCTTGAAGGACTGGCAGCAGGGGGTAGAGCGGGTGGCTATGAGGCAGCTGTAGCGCCCACAGAAGTTGTGCCGTTTGAGTGGTGCTGGCCAGATAGGCGGGTGCAGATTCCACCACAGGATCAATGAGGCCCAGCCCTCCTATCATGATAGGAAGGCTGGCCTGGCGCCAGAGTGCCTCCAGGTCGGATCGGGCCCGGGGAACCTTGATGCTGCATGCGCCCAACGCCGTTTGCAGGAGCGCCTTCTCCCAGGTAGAGCACTCGTGCATGGCGAGGGTAGAGGAGGGTGTACATGGGAAGAGGTATCCCACCTTTCGCGAGATGCAGCGCGAGAGGAGGAGCAGGGTGATCTGAGGGTGCATTTTTTAGAGGGCGGGGAGAGTTTAGGCTGTGCTGTCCAGCTGGTGGAGCACGAAGGCGCGGCAGTACTCCAGGGTTCCTATGGGCCTGCCCAGGATTTGAACGCCTCCGGGGTTGAGATGTGGGAGCCCGGGGAGGGCGGCTACGGCTAGGTGTTGCGGCGCCCACCGTTGCGCGCAACACATCACGCGCTGGAAAGGGCTGAAACGGAAGGACGTCCGTCTTTGCAAGGCGCCTATCCCTTCTGCTGACCGCGGCGCCGTCCGCGAATTGTACGAAGGCAAACACGCCCGCAGGGAAGGGAAGAAGAAGGCGGAGGAGATGGCGATCGAGGCGTGTGCGGGTGGAGCGAAGAAGCAGTGCATCGAAGACTTCTACGGGGAAGGGGCGTCGTGTGCGAAGGAATCGGCAGACGACGCCATCTGCCTCATGTGGGCGGCACTTCACCTCCCGGAGCATCTCGCCGATCACCCTCCCTGGCGCAACGCTGTGCGCTGCATCACGGACGCGGGCCATGGCTACGTTCCCCCGAAGCGGCGGTATGTTGGTGGCACCGGCCTTGCGCGCTGCCGCGAAAAGATCGAGAGGGGGCTCGCTCCCATCACTGCGAGCTGGAAGCGGGATGGCGTGACGATAGGCTCGGACATGATGACGGACAAAAGTGGCCGTCCCCAAGCCAACATCCTGCTCATCAACGATTCCGGTGCAGTGTTCACCGAAAGCATCGACTGTAAGTTGGAGACGAAGACGGGAGGTTACATTGCATCCGTTTTGCGCCCGATCATTGAGAAGGTGGGGCCCGCCAACATAGTTGCGTTATGCATGGATGGGGGCAGCAATTATGCGGCTGCATGTAGGGAACTCATGCTTGAGTATCCTCACATTGAGCATGTGCCGTGCGCTACTCACGTCATGGATCTGCTCATGGAGGACATTGGTGAAATGGATTGGGCGAAGGACATTGTGGCTAAGGCGGGGGTGATTATTACCTTTGTGCGTGCCCACCATTTCACCAACGGTTACATGCGAAGCCCGCAGGTGAAGGGAGGGAAGGGGAAGCAGGTGCTGAAGCCGGCGGGCACCAGATTTGGCACGCAATTCATCGCGGTGCAGCGGCTTTGCGAGGTGCGGAGTGCATTGACGCAGATGGTGCTGAGCCCGGAGTGGCAGGCTTGGGCGAAGGGGAGGAAGCCGCCGGTCGAGCCCTTCGCAACCATGATCATGGATGCCGTGTGGTGGAAAGGTGCGGAGTTCTTCGTCGCCCTCCTGAAGATCCCCTTTGTCGTCATGCGCAAGACCGACTCGACGGCCAAGGGCATGATGGGCAGGATGTACGATCTGATGCTGCAGCTCGCGGAAGACATCAATGCGAAGCTGGAGGAGGAGGAGGCGGGATTGGTGCTGTCCAGCAGTGAACGCACGGAGGTGACCAACATCGTCCAAAAGCGCTGGGACCATAGCATGGCGTGTGCCATGCACGTGGTTGGCCGGATCCTCAACCCGGTCAACCAAGAGGAAGGCATCTTCCGCACCGACCTGGAGTGTACTCGCGTCTTCAAAGCGTTTGTCGCTCGTCACTACGCAGGGCGGACCGTCACGCGCAAGGAGGGCGAGGAGCTGCGCGCATCCCACGTCATCCAGGACGGCCTGACGGCATTCAACACCCTTCAGGGGAGCTTCGGCCTACCCGACGCCATCTCTAACCGTGAGCTCGTGAAGGCCGGTAAGAAGACGGCCGTCCAGTGGTGGACGTGGCACGGGACGGAGCACCCCGAGCTGACAACGCTCGCTTGCCGCGTTCTCTCTCAGCCAGTGTCCGCATCGGCGTGTGAGAGGAACTGGGCAGTGTGGGAATCGATCCACACTGCCAAGCGCAACAGGTTGGGGTCCGAGAAGTGTCGGGACCTCGTGTATGTTGCGCACAATTGGAACATTGTGCGCAACTGGCACAAGGGGGCTGAGGGGGTGACGGTTCTCCCGGGGAACATCCCTGAGGCCTCCCTGCCGGAAGGGTACAACGAGGTTCTGGAGGAGGATGAGGAGGAGGGGGAGGAGGATGAGCTGGAGGATGAGTACAAGTAGAGGAGTTGCATGTTGCTTGCTTAGAGTAGTTGAGAATGCATCTCTCCTACCCTACCCCGAGCATGTTGCTAGGGGGTGGGGTAGGAGAGATGCATGTTGCTTGCTTAGAGTAGTTGAGAATGTAAGGTTTTTTCAATATATGAAATTCGGTAAAACCACCACTCCCCCCCCCTCCTTCGGCGGTTTTTTTCGTCTGCCCGGTAAAAACCTTTTGCTGCCCGGGCAGCGTACTTTCTGCGACTTTCAAAGTCACTCACGAAGCGCATAACGCACTATACGCAAGCGTATATACGCTTGCGTATAATGCGCTGGGCGCGACTTTTCC